GGCACGTGCCCCCCTGGTTCCTACGCCCCTGTCAGTTAGACATATTATTTGTGATTGTTGTGAACCTTCTCACTTAGATCTGCAAGATCATTTGTGATATATTGTAATTAAATGTAAAATGAAACTTTGGGGAGTTAAGAAATACAATTAATTGCCAGGCATTAGACTGTCTGAGAGTAAAATAATAAACTCGGGTGCAATTAGCTGCTGTATGCTTTAAAGTTGGTTGCAAGCTAGGGCTTATAAATGCCAGAACTCATATGTGAAAAATGCTTGAATCAATTTATTTGACCCGTAATGAACCCATTTTTAATCCTTTAAGTGGCAATACGCCCTACTACAATATTTTACTCTGTCTAATGCCAGACGATTTTACTTGTCACGTGGAGAGTGCTGCCACTCAATGGGTTCAATTGCATTGCACCCTACTTTATATGTTAGTGTTAACTTTGTCTAACACCAACAATTTACTTGCCAACAAGAGAGCTAGCACTGGTGCTCAATAGGTTAAATTTCCCTGTAATTGGAGCCTGGTGTATGTGACTCACTATTTCTTCAAAGTGTGTTCTAATGATACTAGCTGTCACTATTTTATAAATATAATTGACTGTCCCTTCTCATTTAGGGTGATCCGGTGATGTAAGTCATGTGGACAAGTTCTTTAGAATGTTCAAATAACAAGTCAGAATAGTGGTGGCACTTGCCAGACCTACCGTAACTGGAAAACTAACAATGACTTTTCTCCAAAATGTTTTGGGCATGTGTTATATGTACTACAAGAAATGGCCCAAGGCATCAAAACAGGGAACAGCCAAAGAAATGAAAGAATAACCCATGGAGCTACAGTTATAATAATACTCTATCACATGTAACTTGATTGTACAGTTATAATTATTAATTTGATAGTTATTCTTTGACCAAGTTTAATTATAAAATAATACAAAATTAATTAATTAATCAAGATTTTGAATCTTTAATTTACAAACATGTTGCTTGGTACTGAGTTTCACTAACAGTTAAACAACAGTGCATGCCATGGACTCATGCATTGTTGGAAAATTCTGCATCTCTATTGTTTTGTCAATATTTTCATGACCAATTTTGTTGTTTTGACTTCATTTTTGATCAAGTGACCAGTCAGGTTAGTGTTATCTTGTCTAACCATTTAGAGTTCTTGTCTTGTTCAAGTGAGATCTCAAACTGAGCCAGTCAGGTTATCCATGCAAACTGAAAGGAATTTCCACTATAAAAATATTAAAATAACCACACAGTGAAGTCTCGCTTACTGCAATATGGCAGAACTAGAGACAATTAACTTAATATTTGAGGGATGGGGCAAACAAGCTAATGGCCTTTTAAAGATACATACAACAAACTATCAGAGAGCACATATTAAAACTACAATGTACAATCCTGGATATAAAACATGCCTTCTCACTTCACTCAGATCAGCTGCCCCTACTAGGCAGCTGAGCTTTGTCCTGCACCAGTCCACCACAAGTTTATGCATAACAAAACCCTTGGCTATATATATAAAACCTTAATTTCCTCTTTAATACACCAGCACATCATAGTTTCATCTCTTAATTCACATACATGTACTGTGCAACTCGATATTGCGAGGGATGAAATTATTGCATAAAGTTAATACAGTAAATACAAAAAGGTTTATCTACAAGACTACAACCACATTATAAACACTTGTGGCTTATTTTCTAAAAAATAGAGTACATTTTACCATTTATTCCTAACATTTTTTCATGAAATACTAAAATAAAAATGTGAATTTTAAAATGTTTACCTGTTTATAGACTATAGTTGACTGCATGTTTCAGACAGTTTATAGACTGCTGTTTACCCGGCTTGAAATATCGTTTTTATCCACATTTTGGGAGGTTTTAATAGTTGTTTGTTGTCTTTCACGGACGAGAATAACGTGTACGACTTTCACATCCTTGAACAAATTGTCACCAGTCGAAAAAATATGTCGAAAATATCAAAACAACAAGGATTCACTTTCAAAAAGCCGAAATATTTTTATAAAAACCAGGGAGGGGGCGAAAACTGTGGCGGGCTCATATTTGAGCCTTGTTCAGTGGCAATTACCATGAATTTAGGGACCGGTAGTCATGGAAATGGCGTCATTTTCACTCAAAATCCGCCATGTTTTTGGCTTCACTTGGTTGACTGAACGAAGTATAGGAGCAGGTCCTCCAGTTATTATACAGCTCAGTGGTCCAATCCTGAACTCACCTCCCTGCAAGTACGTTTGTTATAGAACCCACCCGCGGACGTATGTTTAGGAGGTGGGTTCGAGATTTTGAAGCGATTTGAACAAATTTCAGACGAAGATTTAAATAAAAAATAAATTAACTGTTTTTAATTGTTTTATAATTATTATTTTTTATTTTGTTTGATGAAAATGGAATATTCTGTATTCAAAGTGGAAGAGAAGAAATCTGGCCGCCGAAATTTGGTCGGCACGGGCCGGTTTATATGAATCCTGGCATTGTTTTCGCAGAATGTGTTCATTTTCTCTTTTAAAGAATAAGGGAATATTGTAGAGAATATTTTTAGCTTTAATTTAAGCCTATGTTTGTTTGTTTGCGTAGTATGTTGGCGGCTAAAATGTTCGTTATCCAAACACGAAATTATATACTAAAAAGTAAAATGCGTATAAAATTCTTCAGTACTTTTTAGTATTTTACCGAAATGGCATGTGATAAAAACCAAACATACATGCAGGTTCGGTGAGTCCGGGATTGGACGCACCTCGGGTGGCTGGAAGTTTCCCGAACTCACCTCGCTTTGCTCGGTGAGTTCGGGAAACTTCCAGCCACCCTCGGTGCGTGCAATCGCGGACTCACCTCCCTGCAAAAACAATAAGACGAGCTTCTTGCATAAACTAAGAAATGACGCACTACCATCGTCTTTAACAAACATGTTCAAAATTGCAAATAATGATAGGTATAACTTGCGAAGTAATGATAACAACTATACACCAGTGGCGTGCTGGCAGGGGGGCCGGGGGGCCACGCCCCCCCCAGCTGGCAATTCTTGGGGGGCGCAGAAATGAAAAGGGGGCGCCGATCCTGAGCCGAATTTTGAAAGTGGGTGGGAAAAAACGCATTCGAAAAAATATAGTTACTTCCGCCAAGAGAACGACAAAGTGATATATTAAATTACCGACTATTTTGTCTATTAAGCCGTATTTGCTAATTTGCTACTTCACGGCGCACACGAAATCATTTATATAGGAACATGATCAGTGATCAAACGCAATGTCTCATTACCGAAATATTGGTCAGGTTTGGAAGCGATCACGAGAATTATGCCCTTTTTTGCTGGTATTATGCCCTTATATTACGCCCTTTATTCTTCTTCACGAGAGCGGCGCAAATTAGATAGTTGAAGTTATGATAATGTAAAGTTGTGTACGCAATTTAGTTGTTTGCGCAAGAAACATCATGAGTAATGTAAGTAATGAAATAATGCTGAAACGCGCCCTTTTGGCAGCCAGGCAAGGAAACCTTAAAATGCATATGCGTGGGGTCCGTGTATTATTGTATAAAACTAAAGAACTGTAAGTTGTAAATGTATTCAGATCACTAGATCAGTAGAGAATAGAATTGGGATTAGATTAATCGCTGGAAGTGGTTAGCATTGCATAATTTAAGTACAAATTGCAAATTTCGACACGTTATAATGCTGTTTCCTGACCATCAGATTTCTGTCAAATCGTCCCCCAAAGTCCAGGAAATGGCATTTCAGAGACTCTAAATTCAAAAATTTTCCTGGGGGGCATGCCCCCGGAACCCTCTAGACAAACCTCGCACCTTCGGCGCTCGGCTCGTGCCTTCGGCCCTCGTTTATCACGTGTAATATTATAGGGCGCATATTGGTTGACAGCCCACTGGCCCCCCCAGAAAAATAGTACCCAGCACGCCACTGCTATACACTTGAAAAGCCGGAAACAAACTTTATGAAAAAGAGCTTTAGTTACTCTGCTGCATCACTTTGGAACAGCTTGCCCACTGCAGCTAAAGAAAAAGGCATTGGCTTAAACAAATTTAAATGTATTCTTGACGGTACATGATTTCAGTACTATACATATACTTGTTTGTAAATATTTTTATCTAAGCTTTAATATGTGTGTAATATTATATTAGGAAATTTTATTAGTGTGATGCATGTAAACGGCCCCTTGAAAAGCAGGTG